ACTTGACAGCTGTGGGTGAGGAACGGGAAGACATTGTAAGAAGCAGAGGAGACCAACAAAACTTTTTATACATCTCAATGGAGAAGTGTCTTGTAATCATGGTGCTCATGTCTCCACAGAGCATGAGAAGACCAGTCACCTGGCTAAGCCTGCCCCATTCTCTTCCTGGTGCAAAGCATGTCATTTCCCCTGCACTCTGCTTTGTTTCTGTTTATTAGACAGTACCTTTTATTTATTTTTAAGCCACCAGTTCTTACAGAGATGAAATCAAGCCAGAAAACATTTAGATGTCCCTGGAAATGCTGCCAAACGCCTGAAGGTGGTTGTGGAGCACACTGTTCGTGCTGCTGAATCACCAGGACTGCCCATGGCTTGGGGACCCACAGACAAATGTGTCCTGTCTCAGGACATGCTCAGAGAACTTGGAAGGCACCGGGAGATCCCCTCTGCATGCATGCATCACATCACGCTAGCAAGACTCTCCGACTGCTTGGTATTTATTCGGTAATGACAGTGGCATGTCCCATGTGCTGCCATAAAACACCAGCATATTCTATCAGTCCTTGGCCCTACCTATCCAGAGCGTTATGTTACCTGTGTTCCTAAAAGAACAATAATGGTAAATGTAAAATGGTCAATAGTCAGAATTTGGACTAGTTACATGATTAACTCAGCTTCCATTTTGACATGCAAGTGGAACAGTTGGATGGAATTTGGGGAAATATTATTGGGAAATGTTACCATTTTCAGTAGAAATTTAAGTTCTTATTCAGATTTGGTCATTCAATTTAGATACTTTAAAACAAGCTATTTAATATGTTCTTTAGAAGTTTTCACCTTCATCATACACTTGTTGATGGCTTTGAAAAACAGTTAATGAAGTGCATCAAATACGAACTGTTCTTTCACAACATAGCAGAACAGCTGCGTCCTGGGATGTCAGAACCACTGAAACAGCAGAACCTGCTGTGGCTGAACGGCGAAGCATGTGCTGCACTGTTTGCGTGACTTGCTAAGTCCAGCTCCACTGCACTTCCCTACCTTCCCATTCTGGAACCACTAGTGGTACCTATATCCCCTTTGCCATGTCAGATCTAAAAACCAGTTCCAAAGAGCAACTCTTGTTCTTCCGATTTTCAAGCTCAATGTACATTAAACCTGGCACCTAACTTCACGTATCCAACCCAGTGTGGCTGCCTTCATATTTTCTAGGCTAGGATGAAAGCATGCATCAGTACACAGGATGGCAGCCGGCATGGCTGAGTCTAGGTCTCCATGGGAAGAGCTAATTCAAACAAAAAGTAAAATACAAAGGTTTATTTGAAACAGGATTTGCTACCAAGGAAGCATTCGATTGCCAGTTCAAGCAATCAAATCCCCTGAGAAAGTCACTCTAGCAAATCAGTCACTTCAGTGTCTACTGTCTGAATCAACAGGTCTCTCCAGCACTTACTTGCCATGGCTTCAAGGCAGGCATCTTCCCTCTGCGCCACCACGAGTCATACTAGAGAAGATGGAGCTACCGTTTGCCAGTATGTAGGAAGGACAGATTCCAGCAAACATAGAAATGAAGAACTTAGTATCAGACAAACACCATAAACCCAGCAACAGCTATAAATATTTAAAGATAGAGCATACTTTTTTTAATATATTGTATACATTATAGTTTGGGAACCTAGAGCCTAAGAATCAACACATATCAAGATAACCCTCCTTTGAGTACCAAATTTGCTTTAACAAGTGAGAAAAAAAAAAACCCTCCAGCAAATTGAAATGTTTCAAAATGCTGAGCCTATTGTATTTCTGAAAACAGGGGTAATTCTTAGGAGCAGGGATCAACAGCTGCCATCTCCCACAAGTGATGCAGCTCTCAAGAATGAGAGCACTGAATCACTAGAAAGGAGGAGACTATACTAGGAGAGGGAAAATGACCAAGCATCTCACACATCCTATTTCTAAAGGCAAACAAGGTAGAAATCACATTCCTCCTTGCAGAGGAGTAAGAGACTGTGTAGGCGAGGCTAGCCACAGACACTGCGGATCCCCGAGAAGCGTCATTTATGAAACAGGCCTTCTCCCCAGAGAGCCTATTTAACCGCTCATCTCCAAACCTCTGTTCCCACCACAGAGCGTGTCCTGCTGACCTCCCGTCCCGGCGAGGCCCGCAGCTGCCTCCCACACCACACAGGGCTGGCTGGTGGGAGCTGTGAGCCACTGCAGCACACGGAGCCGGCTCTGCTGCGCGAGCTGCATGCTGACATCCTAAGCCCAAGCTAAGTAAGTTGAAGTCCGAGACAAAAAGCAAGAGCGACGAAGGTTTCTCACATGTGCTACAGCCTATGAACTGTAGTTCCTGGAAAACATCAGGAGATGTTTGCCTTGGAGATGGGGCAGTCAGATAGGCTGGACCTGCTGAAACTCATGCACTTGTTCTGCCTGGGCTGACCTCTCAAGCTGCATGGAGACCATACATAGGACTTCAGCTCCAGTTTTGGAAGACGAGACATTTCATTAGGCATCAATAATTCCATCCATGTAGATTTCATAGATCTTCCCAGCTTCAGTATGTTTTACAACTCTAAATTCATCCATTTATCCCTCCTTCCTCAGAGCATCCTTAGCCATGATAGATTTACTACTCTGCAGACACCATCTGCCTACAGCAAATAGGATGTAAGGCTATCAGACTGCAGGATGGTTTCCACACAGTACGTGCATAACACAAGCACGCAAAGCAATTTGCTCTTCAAACTGATAAGAATTTAAGAGACATTAGGGGGCGATTTTATCTTAGACTCCCTTTCCCCAGCACACAAACGTTTTGCCCTCCATTTTGCAAAACAGTGAACTGCTCCCAAACCAGTTGTGACAAGACAATGCACAAAGACTTCTGACAGTCTATCACCATGAGACAGATTTAAGAGTTAGCACATGTACAGCTCGTACATAAGAATAACCAAAAAGGCTAAAGCAAAACCCAGACCCTTTCTCGTCCCTTCTCCCCATTGTGAAAATAAGGCTCAAAAATGACCAAGCTTGATGAGTTGAGCCATGTCCACCTGAGCAAGCAAGGCTACATTTAAGCCAAGACATCATAAGCCAATTGTACAAACACCCAGTTTGCTTCAGCTGATGTAAGACACTGTCCCTGCCAGGACCATCACCACGCCAGTCTCCTCTGGGCACCGACTGTGTATTCCTGTCCCTTCCACCATTCTGCTGGTGGTATGACAACAGCTTCTGACCTATTCCAAAAACCAAACCAAAACAAACAAACAAAATACCTCCAACTCTTTCTCAGTTACTTTTCAGACAGGCCAGCGTGCTTATGTGAGGGAGCAGACAGACAGGAAGGGCATGGCACAGCCCAGGTAGGCCAGCCTCCTCATAGCATTTTTGTGCTTATTTGGCAGAAGAGTTCAGTAACGGTATTCCATGCACCACTTCAACAGGAGCAAATTTCTACTTGATCAACTTAAGTTGAACATTGAATTGTGTGAAAGCTGTATATCCATGCTGAGAGTGGATGTTGCAGTAACTGAGCTACTGTAACCGGATGGCACCAGGGCTTCATACTGCTACACAGCTGGTTCTCTCAGAAGCAGAGATGAAGTGGGTAACATTACTTCCACCTATAAACCAGCAAAATCTGAAACTCAATCACTTCCCTGACTTAAGCGGCTGCACTCATAAAAGCCTGGCCATGATAATCAACAGAACAGGAGGTTTTAACTTCCAGAGGTTTGTGAAGTAAAAGCATATTAGAAAACTTAAAACTTCATCTTTTTTTCTAGAGGAGCCTTACGATCAAAATGCAATGACTCACAGTTTCTGTGACAGTAAGTAATCTCTGCATACTCAATTGCATGTAATCTTCTCATGCCCAAGAGGAAACAAAACAATTTGTTCAGTGTGAACATTGGTACAGCCATCATCGAACATCACTTTGTACTGGGGAAAACTAACACAAAAGGGACACTGACCAATTTTGTTGCGTGAACAAATAAATCCCCGATACCTGCCAAAGCCAGGGTAGTCCTGAAGAGCCACACTAGGATTATGGCAACATTGCTGACAAATTTCTATGCATTTTTACATGTTAAGTAATAGAAAACTGAGTTCCAAGGGCAGAACAGGATACTCCGTGCTGAAGTGAAAACTGGTTGTCTCCAAGTACTTGTAATCCACATCACCACCAAAGCCTAATGTTTAACTGACTTTTCTAACATGGAGGAACTTGCAGTGTACACTGGTATTCCTGTGTTGCCCTACTCTGTTGAGCAGACAGTAGCAGGGAAATAAAGCAGCAAGCAGCCTAACCTGTCCAGAAGCTTACAGAACATCCAGCCTGAAGAATAATACTGCAATACTTCCAACATGCTTATGAAACAGTAGCTGTTAATACTTCCATGCTTACATCCATTGTTAAACTTGGTCAGATCTAGCTGAATGAGAGACAAACCTAAAAAAAAAAAAAGGTTTCAAGTATTTCCAAAATAGATCTTTTACTTAAGAGGGAGGATATCCCAGAAACTCTTCTTTCCTAGAGGCTTGACCAGGATAACCTCTAAAACCAGCCAAAGCGAAAAATAACCACAGGACATCTCCAGATTCAAGAGCCACGCAACCAAAGCACTAACCCATACATTAAAATCCATGTTTAAGACCAAGCCAACACTTTATGCAATAATTTGAGGAAACCACTAATGAAGATGATAACCTCTAGTAAACAAAACATCACATCAGCTTTTTTGTTTTTAAAAGAGTTAACCAGTCACAGGTACCTAATAGAGATAGATATTGCTGCCTTCAGAGTTACATTATAGGTGTTCTTGCTGCTGCTATATAGCCTTAGGTGACGGTTACAACAGCTGTGCTGAACAGTAAAGCAAAGATTTTTTTCCCAAAATTAGAAATATGTAATTTCCAAAAATGGGAGCAAAAGACAGAAGGTAATGAAAAATACTGCTGAAGAAAGGTTTAATTAAAAAAATCAGGAATTCAACAGTGCCTAAATCTTTATTTTTCATAACCTACATATTTTTTTCAAATTAGACAGTTTTACATTTTATGACACAAAAGGAAACTTAAATTACTGATAGTTTACATGTAAGCTTGATTCCAGTCTTAATGGAAGAAGAACAAAAACAAAAACCCTCAAGAAGGCTCCCATATTACACTTCTATTTCATGAATTGGCAGCTGTTAGGTCTCCTTAGAAATCTTCGATTGTCTGCTGCTATTAGTGTAATAGGTTACAAAGCACATAAAAATCCCTAACTGTAGCTAGCTGAAGGAGATACAGAGATAGGTATGCACCATTACAGTCAGCTGTTGCTCGTGATACACTGCACCACACTCAAACAAGGGCCTTTCTATGCCAACTGCTGAAGTCTTTGAAGGATAACGCAGCAACGTTAAAAAATTTGCCGCTGTTCACACACAGATTCCTAAGTGGCAAATGACAGCGTCATGGCGGGGGACTGATCTGAAACAACATACAGTTTTAAAAGCAACCTTTGTTTTTTTTAAATTCCTGGAAGAAGAGTCTCAGATCCCATTTTGACTTGTTTTCAAAATGAAAAGCATCACCACACAGTCCTAGACGGTAAAATACCAATTTTAATTACTGTATCCCTGAACCTTTAACTCAGCTACTGCTTTTGGGAGGTTTTTCATTTTAAAAGCCACATTTTAATCTCTATGTATCGTAGCAACAGTCTGCATGCAACTTCACAACTCTACTCCGAAAACTCCATTTTGTCACTGAGTGGGGGGAAAAAAAAATCTCAAAGTAAAATGCAGTAAGGATAAGTTGTATATTACACAGCTATTTGGCGTGTCACTTTTTTTCTTTTTAAAAAAAAGCTATAAAAACCACATCAGAAGAAGGTTTAAACTTTCGATGCAACAGACTGTTGCTGGGTGAGCAGTAATTACAGTGTATTGACCTAGCACAAATGGCAGCAGAATACATTAGAACAGCACAACACATCCCACTGGTCTCAATATATCACCTTAGGTACCAGTTGAGTATTATGACTAGCTGTACACAGTCGCTGTAAGGAACCACTTGTGATTGTTTGCAGCTGGTAAGCCTTTCACTTGCAGCAGACAAACAAAATGAATCATACAGCTGGCCTAAACCATACACAACTCTAGCTACCATTTTCACTGCCACTGGGGAAAGGAGAAGCATATTAAAAATCCAATGACAGAACCAGTTGAGCAGTTTTGGTGACGTTGTCAGAGTCCTATCTCCTCCCACAGCATTCGCAAAGTGCGCTTTTTAAACAAGAAAAATCAACAGGTTCCAGCATGCCCTATTTTGACCAATTCTGCAGCACACAACAGGCTGGATTTAAAAGGTCAACTAGTTACCAATTGATGCTTGCAATAGGACATTTATCAGGAGTCAACTTCTATAGTTACTTTACAGTTCTGTGAATCATACACTAAGGAAAGCACTGATATTCTTGAAAGCAGACAAGTAAGCTTCAGTGTATATTTTTGTAGCAGTCTAAAGTTTTTTTCCAATTAAATTTGATTTTATTAATGACTTAAAATTACAGTTTGACTGCTGAAATTCACTATTTACATTGTAGAACACTTTTGAATTGGTTAAATCACTTGTTTTTACAGGGTCTTAGGAAAACAGTTGAGGGCTTTCAAATAAGACTTTCGTTCCATTTCCCTTTTGCAGTGAAGAGGCAGAGTCAGTTCAGCACACCAGAATAAAATAAGAAAAAGAAAAAACAACAAATTAAAGTAATATTCAAACCACAACATTTAGTTTATCTACATCCAGCTCAACAGCAACATTTATAATATCAATAATTTTTATCAGATTTTTTCTTTAGGGTACCTTTTTATATGTTCTGATTATTTACAACTGTACAAGCAAAGCACACACTTCCAAGTGCACATATTTAATACAGTATTGACTATTTGCATTTACAGGTTTTTCAACAATCTGAAAAAGATCAACTGTTTAAGATCTTTAAGGTATATTACAAAAACTGCTGCTAGTTCCTGTACTACAGTATGTTTACCCAGTAAGACCAGTGACAATAGATACATACTGTAACTGAGTAATTCTGTATTCCACTCATGCTAACCCTCCACGGGGTCAGACCTCATTAACTCTAAGCTGTCTTGTACAAAAGTTAAGGCAAAGTCATTTTCAAGTTTAAATAAAATTCAAGTCTTTAAATATTGGATGGAAATAATTCTTTAAAAAAATCAGTTGTTTAAATAAACATTTTTGCGGAATAAACTGTACTGTCATAGTCAGCAGGAGTGAGTTTTGTCTGAACTTCCTGCAGTTTAAACACTTAAAGAAAAACTTTAGGCATTTTAAAACAAAAATAATTTATATTCAACTTTATTAGAAACTTGCTAATTTAGTGCATCCTTGTCCTTCAGAAAGCGCATCACTTCTAAAGTAAATAAGTGTGAGAAACCTCATCCCAGAGGTAAGTATCAGGGATCTCTTCCTCCACCACACAAAACAAACACCATTATCTCAGGTCTTGAAAAAAATTTAAATCCGTATGCCAATGCTTGCAGTTACAGGAAGACGTCAACACAAGGCTGACTAAGATATGAACTCTTTCAAAGAGCACTTGGGGCAGAGTTTAAAAAAAAAAAAGTCTAACACAGAGCACAGGGGTAACCAGAACGTACAGCGCTGACTCAGTTAACTCCCTTACAAGCACAGGGAAGCTAAGGTTATCACAAGAAGGCTACAGTGCTTTCTCCTGATAACATCCACTAACAGGCTTCACCACCATAGAGGCTCACAGACTTAATTCTTTCTATTCACAATGTGCTTTGTATTTGCAAATTATAACATCAGTTTTATTCTGGAGTGAGAAGATGGTTACTTGCTTGCAGTAAGTCAAAAAAGGAAACATTTTATAAAGACTGCTATGGTGCTCCCTAGGATCCATTTTGTGTGTGCAAAACATCAAAAGAAGATTAAATTTCTTAAAAACCACTAGAAACAACTACTCATTTAACCTAAAAGTGCAAGTTCATTTGCTGACACTTAGTACAGCAGCCCAATAAAAAAAATCTTCAAGGTCACATACTAATTCGTAAAATGCATCTACTTCCTTGCACTCTACACACTAGCTGCCGTTATCAGTCTTTTGGACACTTTAGATATGTACTTGCAGACCAGTTTATTAAAAATATTGCAGCAGCACATTTCTGCTTAACAGTTTAGAAAAAACTCACTATACAGAGCTTGCACTCACACAGCCACAGAGAGGCTTAATAAAAAGTTGTTTGTTTTTTTTAAAGACAAATATTTTACATCTTGAAAAAAAAAATCACACTAAGCTTCACCTCCAATTAAGCACCAACCTAAATGTAAGGTTTAGAACAACTATCCAGAAATATCCAGAAAAATAGAATGTTTGTCCAAGAGGGGAAAAAAGTATTTCACAGAAAAATAACTTGCAGGCATTGTTATATGCCTAGTATCACTGCAAGCTCTTAACCAGCAACTCATTCTCAGGTATCTTAGTGGGAACATGGGTTTAATTTGTGGGAAGCAGACCTCTTTTCAAATCCCTCCCAGGTGTTAGTTTCACTGAGGAGATTTTGGAGGGGTATTCTGTTCTTTATTTAAGCGTTTGCCAACGGCTGGAGGGGACGATCTGCGTCCTGACTGTCTCCTCTGGTCTTTGGGTTGTCCAGGATGTGACTTTGCAGGAGGAGGTTCTCTGTTTTTCTCTATTGTTTCTGTGGGCTTTCTTTCTTCTTTCCCACACGCTACAGTGTTTGGCTTCTGTTCTTTCTGGGGTTGCAAGGTAGGAGGATCCTTAGTTGTTCTCTGGCAAATTTCTGCATAACTAGGTTTTCGCAGTTCCTGTGAAATCAAAAGCAAACAGGACAGCAGAGTTAAACAAAGCATCCTGAAAAAAAAAAAATTACTTTCATGAACAAAAACGGTAAAGTCTTTGTCCCAAAAGACTGCTGCACTAAAATATGCAGATGAGGGCTTGAGTACGAAGTTTACAGAAACTGTACAGACAATAAGGCTCAAGACAGTATGCCAGAAAAATGGGTTACTGTGATAGGGCAAAATACTTCTGATTCAAGCAAACTCTAAAACAGCTGAAAGATGGTGAATTAAAACTCTGGTTTAAATATCAACATATGCATTAATGCTTCTACCTCAAGGATACTACCAAGAAAAGAATTCAGATAAAGAGCTATCATTCGCCAAGTTATCTTGAACACTTTTGCACTGCTAATTGCATAATTGTATCGTGCAAGTAATCATGAGGCCACCAACACGCAAATTTAAGGATGCTGGGCTCACATGATAAAGCAACACTGGGTAGCAATGGAAGCAATATTCTGTTAAATGCATCAAACTGGATCATTAAGAGAAAGTGAAGCAATAAGGTCACTTACTATGGCAGCCCCATTGACTTGTACCGATTTACATGCAGTACTGAGTGTGGAAGAAGAAAGCCTTTCTGTACTCTGTGTCTCTCTCTGCTGTTTATCCACAACCTTGGAGTCCCTGTAAGCATCCAGCAGGAAGCAAGGCTCATGAAAAGTGAAACTTCAGCATAGATGAATGATTTAATAATGGGTCTAAAACTTTATCTGAGTATGACTATAAGAAGTTATAGCTATAATTTGCCTAGCACATTATGACTAGCATTGCATTTAAAAATGCTATCAAGTATTAAAAAAAGTATTCCTGTGGAACTTGATGCTACCTGTAATTTGTGACATTCTGATAGCATCTGGTTATTCAGTTATCTTACTCCTGTTACTCAGACACCTCGATTTGATTTGCAGATTCCAAATAAAGTCTTACTGAAAACTGTCTTTATTGTATGGACAATGGTTACCCACAGGATCGTGGGTTTATTCTCTATGCTTCAAAGCTATCTAAATACAGGACAGTAAGGTATTCAATAAACTTTTAAATACCTGCAGAGACTAAAACATAACACTAAACTTTTGTCTGCTGAATGACCATTATGACTGAATCACTACTATTATATTGTTCAGAAATTAAGCTTTATTGCCTTTACTACAAGTACAATATACAACAAAATATTATTTCATTGATTAAGACTTTAATAGCTATTTACAGTGTTCCACCCAGTCTTCTGATGAGAGAAAATGCAAACGTGATTCAGAGCAGAATAATTATAGCCGTGTAATTAAGTGCTTACTCAGAAGACTGGGATGGCGAAGGAGACCTTTCAAACGTCCTGGGCAATGTAGAAGAAACTGGCAACAACGGCTCTCGAGGAATTCCCGATGGAATAGTGTTTGTACTTGCATCCACATTAACGTTCTGGAGGAGGAAAAAAGACACAGAAGGGCAATCATAATATCCAATTAATATGGTCTGCCTGAAAATTAACACAATCAGGAAACAGTTTACAAGTTGACTTATAAGGGTAAATTAACTATAGGAAGATACAGAAGGATCCGATATATGTATTGTAGCAAATAAGTTTTTTCCTTTACAATTACTTAGAAACACAAATACATCACACACTGTGGCTCTTTCCCAAAAAGTTGGAAGCTTAGTTCCCTTTGGGACATATCTGGATGACAAAATCACTTCTTTCAACCTGTGAATTTTGCACCTGCTGGTGACACAAGTAGGCTTTGCACCCGTTCACATAACCATAGTTAGCCTATTAAGACAAAACTGTCCTAGAGCTATGCACCAAGAACTGTTGTCTTCAAAGCTCTAACTCCGCATCATCCCAATAGCTGGTACTAAAACCCCCTAACCTTAAAAAAAAAAAATTGAGGTTTTTGCAAACTAGAATAAGACTATCATTTATAAAAGTCCCTTTCTTATGCTATAGCGTGATTTGCTGCCAAGCAAAAGAGGCTTTTTCCATAGCCCTCAAAAGATTCTGCTAGTGACAAGTGATACTGTGCTTGCAGATAAAGGCCAAATAGGTTCAAGATGCATGCATGAATTTAGATTGTCACAAAGTAAGAAAAGAGAAAGAAGACTTTGTATCTTGAAAAATGTATTTCTGACATTTTAAAATAAACAAAATGGTTATAAAAGTGCTATGTTCTTCATATTGCTTCTGACCTGTCCGACTCTAGAACCAGAACAGATTCTGGTAAACAGAAGGGAGAGCAATGGGAGAACACAAGCACAGAAGGAACAAGATAGCCACCCCTTTCCCCCAGCCCAGCCACCACTCGAAGGTCATAAAACATGAGACTCCTGTGGTCACTGTTAGAAAGGAAAATGGTATTTGATGACACTGTTTAAGATCAGGCAGCATAGATCATTGCAGTAGATCTAAGCCTAGTTTTATTCAAAGTAAAAGTAAAACCGTAAAAGGTGGATGTTTAGAAATAAAAGAACAGCTTCTGTAGTTTTACTCACTATAATAGCGTGTGCAAAGGCTTGAAATTGCAAGCTGCTGAGCATTCTGGCCCAAGTTCATCAAAACTTGTAGGTACATGGTTAAGTGTGAAAAGCTGCAAGTCAAGCAGACGTGCAAGTGCTGTTCCTAGGCCAAAACACTCAGCCCCTGATCTGACAGCGCTGCAGTTTCCTAGTTAGAAAATGTGGGATGATTAACACCTGCCATTCCCCAGAGCTACATCTAGACGAGCATCACAAAGCAAAGAGCATAAAGATATGATGCTTGGATAACAACTGTTGGAAATTATACAACCTAAGTTCACTCAGCTTCTGTACACTGGACTTGCCCATCTATAAAACAAGAGTAGCACTGTGTAACTCTACTTCGGCACTTCGTAACTCCACATCAGGTGACATGAAAAAAATGTTGAGCTCAAGGTGAAAAGCAGCCTGTATACATTGGCAAGATTCTAACATTACTCAAACACCTTTGTAGTAGAACACAATCGCTCTTTGGACCCAGTTGCTGTTATCTTATTCCTTATTAACGCCTACAAGGAAAGACAGCGCAATCCCTTTCTTCCAGACAATGGTACACACTAACTCATGCAAACCAGAAAGAGAAATTGGGAAATCAAAGGAAGCTTTTTAATGTGACAGTGCAGCAGCACTGTCATAAAACCTCAGTGCCTGACTGATATTAAGACTGCCTCTACAGGGGACAAGTGCAAGTTCTTTACAGTAAGTACAGTGCAAAGCAAGTACTAGATTTGTAGTGGGAGGAGCAATGGGTTTTCAGCTGCAGTATCAACAGAAAGTGCTGGAATTATATTTAAAACCAGAAATACGATAGTCAAAAAACTCTTCAGAAATAATAGAGGTAAAATACTTTAAAAACAGATAGATCTGGGCCAAGAACAGACTACAGTCTGGAGCACTGGCTGACAGCAAGTTAAACACTGCTCTTATCATGGCACTGTCCTGCACATTCCCCCTAAATGCAACCCTGGAATATAGTTGTCCCTGTTACCACTTGCAGGAGACAGAATAGATGGCTTGTCTGCGCAATCACTGCTTCGGGTGCAGGCTGCCTTGCCACTTTCTCTTTCCTTTACCAACAAATACCCTCCCTACCCACCCCTGATACGTGGGCACCAAAAAAACCACTTCTGCAATAGACTAGTTTTAGGGACGAGACACAAGAGATTTTGGTGTTTCATCAGGTGGCTTTGCACTGCTATATCCAGGGGTTAACGTCTTCAGTTGTGGTACAGCTAGAAAAACACAAGTTAAATTAGAGCTAGCAGAAAAAGCCAATATAGACTTCCATAGCCTAGACTATTCCACAGTGCGCAGGGTTATACGAGTCTTCATGGAGGAGAACATGCTGTCACTCACAGATGGCATGGTAGAGACAGTTCTAAGAATGAAATCTATGAACAGCTACTGAACATTAATTTTCAACTGCATCTCTACTACATCTAGAAAGCAGTGGTTGCCAAGTCATTCTGGTATATTTTTATCTTTCCAAGCAATATGACAAGACAATGCTGTCACTTCAAAGTGTTTTATATACAACTGAGAAGTATGACTTTCAAACAGGAGGAAAATTTATCACACATTTTTCACCTGAGTCTATCAAAAAGCCTGAGGCAATTATGAACAGCAAACAGCATATTTTCTAATCTCTACTATTAACATCTACTTATACTGGTGCTCATATTCCACACCATTTCAAAGTGAATTCCCAACAAATTCTAAGATATAAGTGAAGGCGGCAGCAGCACATCATTTGACAGCTGTTTCTTAAAAGCATTTCTTATGACCCATGTAGAACCACAAGTTTTTTTCTATGTATAAGCCACCAAATCTGAAAACAAGAGGTATGCAATTCTTTGTTTTCCCAACAAAAAGTGAACACTGGCTACTCACTCTTTCTTTTGACGTTCCTATTACCACATTGGACAGTCTGTTTTCAAAAAGGTCTTCGGTTTTTAAATTGCCAGCAGCCCCGGGTAACGGAGGAAAGCTAGATAAACCCAATTCAAAGCTAGGAGATGGAGGTTTTGGGGGTGGTGGAGACTGTGTTTGGCCTCTCTGGAATAGAAATAACATGTTGAGGTTACCACACTGGATGACAGAAAAGAAAGACATGGGACTCTAAACTGTATTTTGCATTTGATTTATATCTATGAAGCACTAGAGAGGCCTCCCCCATCCCACCTCCCAAGAAAACCACACAGTACCGAGGAACAGATGCTTTCATTTTCCACTGTTGCCCTTAATATATTTAACTATTATTTAAATGGGATGGCATAAGCATCCTTAAAAGTTTCATATGCATAAGCTTTAGTGATACTGGTATAGCAAGAAAAGTCTTCTCACTGACCCTTCCTTCGGGATGGACACTTACACTGACACAGAAAGGCAAACAGACTGGTTTAGATATCATGATGTAGTGAAAATATAAAGCACATTTATGTGCAGTTGGTAACATTCTAAATGTAAGACAGGCGTCAACAAGAATCTTATATCACGTTCAGATATATTAAGAAACGGCAAAACAGCATGCCTTGCATGTAGTGTAGACAACAGCAATTTTCATCTAACTAATATGAATGTATATGGTCACTTTGTAAAAATGCAAAGATAAATATCAAACCTATTTTTGAAACAGGGAGAATTTTTCTAACTAGATCTAAGAAAAACAATGTCCCAGGCAAAAAAAGTCAATGGGCTAAATACAGCTACTTTACACTACACAGCAGTTCAAGAGTTAAGAGTACCACAGTTTAAGATGATTTGTGAGGACTGCTTGTAAGGATTTGTAAAGCTAAATTCTATTTACACTGAAAAAATAAAATTCCTCTTTGTAATATGCTGTAACTGAAGTTACCCATTAACTTCATCTATATCATGTAAACAAAGAAGTAACTGTTTCATGACTGTGCTCAGGCCTGTGCTAAGATGATCTCTGCTGCAGAATACCGAATGCAAAGCAATCTTTGAGACGATTCCTACTTTGAAAAGGAAAATACTTATGGCTATACAGCCAAGATGGTCTGAATGTGAGAACAGTGCTTCTGCACAGAAAGGTGTTGCATTACTTACTGTTTTTTCCTCCTTCTTTCTCATGAAGAGCAACAGATACAAAACTACCCTAGAGGTCTTTTTACAAACTATAGTTTATGTCAAAGGAAGTGAGTGTTGAAGGGAAAGAATAAATACAGAGGCAAGAACAACCGCAACTCCTAGGACTGCTACTGACCCAGCATTACCCCCCAGAACACAGTTTAAGAGCGCTACAACAATGGGGGCTGCAAACCTCCAAAAATAGAAGTCAGATGACCTGTCAAAGGATCAAGGAGAGAGACTACACTTTAGCCAGCTCAAACTGCAAGAAGAACAACCTGAACAACCTTTTTTTTTTTTTTAAGAACAGTTCTTCAAATCACAGCACTTAATTTTCTTAAAGGGGACTGAAGTGCTGCAACAGAAAATGCTTTTATATTTGTTACAAACATTATGTTATACAGATGAGTTCTAAAAAAAACCCCAAAAACATACTGAGAGACAAGTAACACTAACATCTTAAATTAGTGAGACCAGGGAGGACTTGAATAGATTTTAAGCTGCCAACCGCATAAAATTTTTCAAGTCATGACAAGTTGAGTAATTGGCTTATGTCTATAACCTCAGATACAAACTGATCAAAAAGGTTCATGCTCTCTCTCATGCAAGCATGCATACTCTCTATAATTTTTCCATTAAAAAAAATCAAAATAAGTCATCACTCCATTCAAATACAACTGGTTGTAGTGGTGTCCTATGTGCACTATCTCATCACTACAGCATGGCACAAGAAATAGGATCCTGGATTCAATTATTTCCAGTCTAAAGGGGTCAAATTTTAATCTTCACTTCAGAGTACGCTCTTTCTCATTGCACACAGTTGTGGGCGCGCAGCAGCTCTCACCTCTGTTCAAGTTGCATCACTGGAAAGTACAGACTAAAGATTCATGGGCCAGAAGAAACTAGAAGGAACCCGGCTGCACAGGCTGCAGTTAAAGCCTGGTGCTGAGAGAAGGGAACCGTGGGTCTCCAAAGAAGTCATGTCTACCAGTTTCACATTCAAAGTTAAAAGAACCTTTAAAGTCAGCTGAGTCAGAAGAGCCTCTCCACTCAGTAAGTGTCCAAGGTAATCCTTTCACTCCAGCCACTCACTCACACGTCTAACCTATACCACTTCCTTGTCCTTTCAGAGACAGAAAAAAATGTTGATAGGAAAACGTCAATCGAAAAATTCAAGCAGCTTTGAAAGGGCAAAAGAAGTATTGAGAATCCTACTTGTAATCTGATCTCACTGAGCTTTGAGAAGTTTGACAAGAACTAAAAGCAACCAAAGGGAAGGAACGACTTTTTTTATGCTTTCCAAACCTTGATGCTCCTTTATCCAAGTCCCTTAAGGCTACTCAACAGCAGGAGCCACAAATACACAAATGCAATGATTCCAGACCTTGAAGAAAGTGTTATGGCTCATGCAGTAAGCCATAGGACTTGCCATAGGACTAACCCCATGCAGTGGGGTTACTTTGCAATTGTAACATGAATAAGGAAATAATCCGGTTCAACATGCCATGTGTGGCAAAAATGAATTGCAGAGAAGTGTCCGGTTTTAACAAATCAAACCTTAAGTCCTACAGAAAAATTACTTTTTTTTTTCTTCTACACAATGTCTGGTCCAGCCTTTTCAAGTATCCAGGCTCTTTAGGTATTCACCTGGAATTTAAGTTTACCAAAACTGTAATATTTCAATAATGTTAGTATACCCTTACCAAGCAGTACTTGGAAAGGCATTTAAGAAACAGAACTGACCACTTAATAACTAACATTCTAGCTATATGACACATGGATTTATAAAATGTTCTTCAACGTCTACATGAACAATAATCAGGTATCAACTGTTTTGAACTTGAGCTTAGCTATTTAGCTCTCCCTGAACATGAACACTGGCATGCTGACAAAGTAACACTAAGATGGAAATTTTTTGCTACCATAAAAGAGTAATTTTAACTTTTTCCTGACTTTGGCATTAATGGACAATCTTCTCTGATACCCAAATGCAGTAAACTCACGTGACTAATGAGCTGCTGTCTTCAGTCAACTGTGACATACAATTGCTTGTGCAATAACTTATCTCGCCTGCTACTCCACATAATATCCATACTATTGCCTTGTTACCCTACTTTTATTATAGATGAATACGATCATGAACACTCACTGTAAACTTGTCCTCCCTTTTCTTTCGGTAGCCATATGAGTTTTTCCTAAGGGAAAGAAAGCAGTTATCAGAACCTTGCCTATAAATGAATGGAAGGTAGCTGGTGAAAACAGGAGAAATTAATTCAAACTGCTATTTCATCCATCTTCATTCTAGACAGGTTATTAGAAAAAATGTTTTAGGGAAAAATTTCTAGCAATCTCTCATTAAAATAAAGGTACGGATCTTACACAAGTCAGCATAAGAATACACTAGTTACAAGTAACTCCTGCGTTAAAAGCATCTCAGTGCTGATTGTATATAAGGCTTAGACAAGACCTTTCAATATCCAAAGTAAAGGTTTTAGTCTTTTTCTTTTTTTTATACCTATGTAACTTTTGAAACATGGCTAACTATTTTCAATTCAGGTAAAGCCCCTCCAAAACATTTTCAGTGCTTCTCCCCCAGCCTTACTTCAGGTAAAGCAGCAGTTTAAGATTTGCAATGCATTCTAACTCGGTTTCAATAGATTTAAGTTTTCTGTTTGACTTTTAATATTCTAAATGTATTCAATACTGAAACATCAGAATATAAATTTAAGTACTGACTATTCCTGTACATTTTTGTAGCCTATAGTTTGAGCAATCTTGCTTCCTATGTCCTTAATCATACTTTCATCCGCTAGTTATAACACAATTTGGCAAATCAGATTGAGAAAAGTATTACAATCCTTGCACAAAATCCCCACTTAATTTTGCAATGATACAATACAAGTCTAAAATAGGATCATCTGCAAAAGACTCGAGTTATCTTCCAATTCAGTAAGTCACCTCAAGTTTGTGTGGAGACACAAACACAGCCAGCGTTAAACAAAGCTGCACAGTACTTTTATAAAGCACTTATTAGAACTATACTGTATTTAAAAAATTCCAAGATAAGCCTCCTAAATTCTCACATTAATATTGGTGCCAAACCCAAGTGGGTTTTTTGTTTTGGAGGGTGGTGTTTTTTTATAGCATAACAATAGTTTTCTTAGTTGCATGTAATCCTTTTTCCTCCCTCCATACCAATCTATCATCTTTGTTGTTGTGAATGTCTAATTTGTGCAAAATTCTGATCTTTCAACTGAAAAAAGTGACAACGGACACTGCCAGTACAGGTTCAAGTGCACATTCACTGCTGAATAATGGAATGGGCAGAACTGCTTCATGAAACTCAAATAAATAATATGCAAAAACTTTCTTACAGCAGATGAAGGATAAAGGATTAGATCTTATGGCTGTAAATTGTTCATTAGTTGCCACTAATGATTTTCATTTGGTAGGAAAGTATGCAAGTCCATTTTGCATTTGTTGTATATTTAGCACTTTCTCTGAAGTAAGATTTTTAGCTTTGAGCAGAGACAGTCTCAGTTTAAAATAGTAATCAGAACAGTACCAGTACCACACCTCTTTACTAAAAGAAGCAGTTTAGAAGCAGCAATACCGGGTTGTTCAGAGGACAACTACAGAGTACACTCACCTTCCTCTGCCTAATCCAGGAGACGAGTCAACGCTGGTCTGTTCCATCCGTCCAGTTCCTACTTCCCTCTTGGTATAACTCGTAGTAGCATTCTGCATCCGTGTCCTGTTCTGTCCTGGCTGCCGCGTCTGTGGACTCCTGACGCCATTGATTAAACGATCAGCAGAAAAGTTGAATATTGTAGGACTGTCTAGAAGCCCAGGTCCCCTTTCTGCACTGGGTATTGTATGTCGTATATGAGACTTGCTAGGATTCCTATAAATTCAAAAGTCATTTCAACATACGTACTATGAGAGATCTTCTGAGGCCTAAGTCTACACACAGAATTCAGAAGAAGCAAGATCTTTAGTCCTTTATTGCATATTTCATTTATAAGAATGATAAATATGCATTTTAACAGGTCATGTGAATTATCAAAATTAACCTTTTCACTGTCTATTTTCAACTACGGCTTTACTAAAAACTACTTGAAACTGAAAATAATCCTGATGATCACATGCCATCATTCAGAATATTTCATCTGAATAGCCTAAATCATCGAACAGAAGTTCTCAGCTTTCAGACAGTCCATTTACATTTAGAAACAGTACATCCACTAACAATAGCAGCACCATCTGCCCTTTGGCCTCACTTAACCTTGCACCAGGTTCAATTTCACAAGTATTTTCAAGTTAGCTGGTGTTACTAAAATAAGCAGATTAAAACCCCACATGCCAGATAATAAATTAGTATGTACACTGTTAAAAGATGGTTGAACTTGCCTGTTCCTGGGAGGATACTGTCTGAGTGTAGTCAATGGAGAAGCAGCAGGCTTGAAGGTTGGAGATGTGAACCCATTGATAAATCCAGTATTTGGAAATGGTGTTACCTAAAGGATATATTGCATGCTTACAATTACAAACAGAGTACTATTTTTTTTTAACCCTGTATTTTATGTCATTCTATGCAGGGCAGTACTTAAAAGATCGGCTCAAACAGCAATAGAGCATTTGTCCTGTGCCTTTGTAACCAACTTACAAAAGTTTTTTGAGAAGACAGCCACCACACATACTCAAGTTCTGATAATTTGTTAAGAGGACTGAAAAACATCGAGCCAAAATTCTTAGCCATAAGTTAAGTAACACTCCTTCTATTCCACACCATACTATGCAGGACTTCAGAGTACAGAGATACTTCTTCGTCAGAGTCTCTAACCTACACAGCCTGTAATTGTTTTCCTTATAATTTATATGTGAATCCCTCCCGAAAAAGAAAAAAAATTCTTTTTAGTTCCTCATTCTACTTATCTTCCACATGACACCTAAATAAAGCCTAGAGAATAAGTGGATGTTAAGTGGACCTCTGATTCTTTTCACATCTTACCACCTTATTCTACATGTGAATTACTGTCTTGTTGCCCGAAGAAGCAACATTAGCAAGAGATTTTTTGGGGTGGGTGCATATCAATGTCTTGTATTAACAAGATATCTCAAAATTTGAAGCATGTTCATAGTAATTTCTCCAACCTCACTAGCACACTTTTTTCTTTTTTTGTTTGAATGTATGAATGAGTTTCATTTAGGAAATGTTATTATTAGCAACAGCAAATGCTTGCTTGTCTTCTCCCCCTGAAAATAACTACAATGCAGAACAGTAAGGCTTCTATGTAGCACTCCTTCCACACTTAATGAAATTATGAGAAACAGCGGGGATTAAGACTGTTTCCTATAAAGGTATCTTTAAGCTTGTCTAACCTTCCTTGCAAAAGTTAAAGCAAATCACTAATCAATGAAAAATTAAAATGAAAGTGAAAAAACCTTAACACCAAAGCTGTCATGCCAAACTACTGTTGGCCTAATCTAGCACACATGACAGCAAATGCTACCTCAGACTCCAAAAATAGTCCACCAGGAGTTTAATAAAGCTATTTTAAGAACAAATTTTCATTCAAATACTGCTTTGAAGTGCTTTCTGCTTTAATAGTTACAACTTGAATGATGTAAAATTCAATCAAAGCTAGTAAGCAACTACTGAACCTGAATAATGAGAAGACATTGAACATAAAGGAAAATAAGTTTAACTCATTGCTTAAAGGGACACTAACAATATTCAACCCTTCTTTCTTTACAAGGATGGGTGATCTTTTTGGAGGGAAATTTTTGTTTTCCAATAATACCAAAAGCTTTGCTTTCTCCACAGAAGTCATCAAAAGTACACCTTTTTTTTTGTAAACAAGCAGGACAAACTAGATCTTTCCTTAAATACTAGTAAGTACTTGATGAAGAAGTAGGTAGTTTTACAATTTTGAGGACATGTGTTGCCATATTCTAGTTTCAGAACTAAAACTGTATGCCCACACTACTGGGCGTACTTAAATTAGAGATGAGACAAAGCAGTTAGTGTTTATGCCAAAGCAGAAGAGGAGAAAAGCTTCTGCTATGTTTGCACACAAGTCTCTACATGCAAACTGCAACCCTGTCTCACGAAAATTAGTCCTGTGTCATTGTTCCTCGTGGTCCCTGTTCTCCTCACAAGTCATTTCTATTCAAATATAGCTCTTCCTATAAAAGGTTCAAGAAACATCATATTACACTAATGTACACAAAATGCAGCTAACTAATGACAATATGCTGCAAAACAGTGGGAGGCAAAACTCTGTCAGTTAATTTTCTGTTTTCACTAAGAAAGGTATGAGATCTTTAATGCTGGCAAACTTGTAATGTCTTCCCCCAAAGGCCAGGACTAGTAAGCTTTCTGGAATACAAAAAGTTCCAGGATGACATAAGGCAGATACACGCTATGCTGTGCTTTAACCTGTGGCCAATTAATCTACATCTTTTACACCAGTGCCATCCAACTACTGCACTATCCCACAGCAAGACTGTGCAATAGTCAGTCTTGGTTTATCTAGAGGAAGAATCACTTCACTGCTGCTTAATAAGGTGGCTTTCTCCTGAAATAACATTGTTCACTATGCTACCTTGTCTCCTCCGCATTCTTCATCCCCCTTAAAAAGCCTTCCCCTGCAAGGGCTCTGGCTACCTTCCCTGTGTGTGCAGTGTTTAGCACACCAACTTTTTAATTAGCTTGCTGTTCAGTACACAGAAGTTTGCTCAAGTTTGTTCAAGGACACTTTAATCCTCTGCCAAAAAAACCTCTAAAAAGCTTCTAATTTTGAGCATTGCTACCCCAGTTTCTTTTAGCCACAAGTAAAGAAGCATTTACAGAGGGGAGAAAGAGGTTCCACATAGGACAACCTTAGTCTCCCAGTCATTACAGAAAACTATATCCGTATTAGTTTTTGTAGGATAACAAAGGCAGACTACAAGGGGTCAAGGTAATTCTGATGGGACTCTCACAATGGAGGAGAAGATGGAAGCAACATTGCAGGATGCAGCGGATATCCTACTGGAGTATATAAGGACTTACTGCTACCACCCTAGCTCTAAGGCTTACCAATAGCCCCTTTAAGAAAATTTTAAAAATTAAGCAATTTAAAAGTGATTTTTTTTTTAATTAGCAAAAGTAATTTTATTTTTTATTGCCAAAAAAGATGTCACTTTTGCACAGAAAATATTTTGCTTTAAGAATATGCCGAATAGGGTAATTCAGCATGTTAACTTAGAACTTATTTTCCTGCTGGAAGATCAAGATACTAAGTTATCCTTATTTATCTGATTCCATTGTTTATTCAGTACATATCAGAATTGTTTTTTCTGGTATTTACGTACATATTCTGAAGATCTAATTTCTAAAGAGGCTTTTAACCATTACTAAAAGAAGTCTTTACTAAAGATATCTTTTGGTAATGGTTAATTAATAATCTTTAGTAAAGAATTGCCTCAAAAACTAAAAGGTTAAAAAGAGAATCACACTGCAGTCTGAGACCGGATGCAATTTTCAAATTAATCTTGTACACCACAGGAAGAATTTTGAAGAACTGTTTTTCAAGAAGAATCAGTATCTTAAACCCCCCTCTTCAGGATACATATGCTTCCTACACCCCAAGACTTCATAAGAAAATAATACTAACTTTGAAAAGAATGCAACTGTTTCATAATCAAGAGACTTACCAATGAAGGGTCAAGGTAGCTGTGTGTGGCTGACCAGGTCTGTGGGCCAATTAAGCTGTACAATGGAAACTGCTGATGGGGACTGTATACTGGAGGTAAGTAAAAGGATGTTGTGTAACGCTGCTGCGTGTAGAGGTTCATATCCAGAGGTCTATATCCATTCTTTGGCAAAAATGTGTTTATAGCTATTGCCTTTGCTTTTATCCTTGCCTGCAAAGGAGATTAGATTATTTATTACAGCAGCCTTTCAAATTAAATCAGGATGGTTCAAACTAGCAGTTCTCAAACTTTTACTGGACACTTGTCAGTCACCACTTTCTCCTTCAAGGAAGGCAGAACAGCTAAACGCTTCCCTGCTGGCCTGATGCTGGAATAGATATACTGCTGCCAGAAAGGAGGAAAAGGAGGAGAAGTAAAATGACATGTGCTACATTTCAAAACCCATCTCCAGGTCAAATGGCTGCTGAGATTGGACAACTTAAATTTATACTAGAACACACAGTGAGTCACACAAAAAACAGAACATATACACACATGCCCCAAAAAACCATAAAGCTCTATTTACCTTAATCGGTTTTCCTTGGAAAGTTTTCACTTCTTCTCTAAGGTATCTGTAAGCCTTTAAAAAAGTAATTATAAAATTTATCAAATATAATTTAAACAAAGGAAACTTAAGTTTTGACAGGCCAAGCCTAACAATAATTCTTGAAGTGTCTGCTAATGTTGGACTAAAGAAAACCCTCATATGTAATCTGCATTTGGCAAGATTTAAGTTATCATTGCAGAAATGCTCCAGTAGCATTAAAACAAGATTTTAATTCTTATGATTGAAGCATTTCAATGTGTCATCCAAAATACCAATGTTCTTAGTACAAAAAAAATATAGCTTTGGCCAGGAAGCCAGGATATGCAAGCAAGATAAAACTCTTAGAGGGTTATGTTTAGTAGTACTGATAACAGGTTATTAGCTAAGTGGAAGCATGACTGGTTTTAGAGGTTTGGGTATTTTTCTTTTGAAATTGTTACACATTTGTAATACAGTTTACAACCTGTCAATCCACCCTCATCCCATCCTTGTTTATTGCTATATTCTAAAATGCTTCAAAAAAATAGTGTTACCTGCTGTGCATCAGCTTCTGATTCAAACGTGATGAACCAATTGTCATTATAGGCAAACTCACAGTTGATAAACTTAGGCAAATTATCTCCTTTGAAAAGTGCTTCAACCTCCTAAGGAAAGTGGTTTTGATAAGAAGGAGAGAAAAGGGTGGGAGAAAAAAAAATGGATGGACAGAAGAAAACATCAATTTAAAGTGCACAACTCCGGAACCCCAGGTAAGAAAGATAAAAAGCACTTTCAGACATACAAAACAGAACTGAGAACTTCGGAACACCTGCAGTAGCATTAGCTCTCTCCAATCTCCCTGCTAGCTAGAAGGAATTCAAACAAGCATCACCTAAGGCCATACTGCAAGTAGAAGTTGCATGCTCCCTTTAATTCAGGGGAGATAAGCTATTTAGGCCATAGAGAGACACTTAAAATTGGCATCAAGTGCAGAAAAATGCCTATTTCTCCCATTCCCAAAACCATGGTGCCACATGAAAACCCCTGCATACTACACGGGATAGGAGAACCCTGCCCTTTCAGCAGAAACCTGGAGATACACTTTAACTCAAGTGTCTACAGATTAATACATTTGAAACCGGGTTTATGTTACCTCAAAAGCAATCAGCTAGTTTCTATAGAAAAAACACCTTGGACTTTATATTTGTTTTAATCCATTTACATATTATTTATTTTTGTCACAGAGTTGAGGCCAGCAGCATCAAAAAGCAATGCAACTTGGGAGGCCTTACAGTATTTTGTAACTTTGCTGACCATGCTACGCCAGAAAAATGTATCCTATTAAATCTGTCAGGTTAAGTATAGTTTTTCCAGTCTGGCAAATGTAAACACATAATGTATAAAACACTTCGCTTCAGACCACCTCTTTTGAAAATAGACTCCTCAGAACTTTGTTGTTGTTAAGCATTTAAGAGCGACCACCCAGTGCTAATATATCCAACCCGACAAACTGATAACAGGGGAAAAACCCCAAACTATAATATTAAAAGCTAGGCAGTCTTTGAAAGGTTAAATTTCATTTAGAAAGCTAAACGCAGCTGATATTTTTAAGCCATGTGTATAGCATATCTAACCTCTTCCCTCCAATTCCTTTTAGCATTGTTTCATGCTCCTGTTTACTAAGGCCACTTACCTCTATTATAATTTTTAATCTGCAATACTTTTTATTTTTGTATTAAGACTATTAAGAGCAGCAACTCTTTAGAATCTTTATTCTTCCTTGTAAAATTAAATAGGGGGGAAATTAAAATATCTCCCCATCATCAAGAATCTGTGCCTTCTCCTCCTTTTTGAAAATTCAAGACGGTTTAATCTATGGCCCAAACATTTTTTTCTAGTCTTTCCATTAGTCATAGTCCCAGCTACATCAGAGTTGCATTGAATGTCTTTCAAACAATCAAATTCTCCACTCTCGCACTCATTCCACAAGCCAGCAGAGATCCTTAGCAACTTGTTGACACCTCTACCCTCAGCATTATGAAAGTGTTTGCAAAGCTTTAAGTACTTTACCCTAACAAGCTTCAAGATGCAGCAGTGGCATTTTCCATCCTAAGACTTACCTTCCCTCATCTTTGTTTGCTATTTATTCAAAGAGCTGAGCACTAAGTGCATATGGATAAGCCAGAGTCCAAGACAATTATGGTGTCTACACCAAACACAGCATTGTCAGTTTTTCAGCCCTCTGCAGAGCTACAGGTTTTACCACAGTCTTCCTATGAGTGACATGCTTCTACCAAATATATTTATTATCCAAACGCATGCAATAAACTCAGGTTTAGAAACATTGTTAGAAATTAACTAACAATGTAGTAAGAAATGTGATATGCTTATTGAAATCTGGAAGAAGTCTAACTTCCAAATCCTAATGGAAAAGCATTCTTTACTGAACAATTAAACACTTACTTCAATGGGGGTAGATTCAGGTACTTCACGTAAAATCACAATACAGCGATTCTGATTTGGCCTAACTTTTTCTCCCTTCTCATCCACTTGGACTAAAGGCAACGCTAAGAGAGAAAAGACAAAAATGTACTTCAGCTGTCAGCAATCATAATAGCTTTGCAACACCAAAAGATGCTGTGGACACAGTTTTACAATGCAAAGCTTTTTGTGCTAAACTTAAAATATTTTTGAACATCAAAAAACAAGATGGCGACTGACGATACTTTCAGACATATGAAACTGAGTAGACATGTTCCTTAAAATCTCCACACTCTTCCTACTTTTCCAGCCTAGAATATCCCAATTCATTAGCTTTTTCATCTAAGGCACATACTGAGTCATGTTCTTTTTTTGATTCTTACCTTAGTGGTAACGTCCAGTAGCCTTTTCTGAGAATTTGAACTCACAGATCATTACTCAATACCTCAAATGTGAAGTAGCTTTGATAAAACTGCAGTCCTATAATTCTGATGGTCTAAACTGGAAGCTGCTTGCTCTATTTAGTGCTTTACAGAAAAAGGATGGCATTTTATTGCGATACATAACAAAAGAAGGAAGAGAGATTGAAAATCCAGATTAACAGTCCTACGGCAATAACCAAAATGCTTTCTAGCATCGAAGGATTTTTACTTACATCTCAGCACTTCAACAATCAAATCCATATCAGTACTGAGTTTCTTGACATGATCAAGGTTTGCTACTGTCATTATTGGCACATACTGATCACTGTCCATCTGTGATATAAGGTACATGTCACTGGCAAGATTTTCTCTGTTGGGAGAAAAAAAAAATGGGGAAATGTCACAGATGTAACTTCTGCCAATAAACTTGAGACAAAAACCTCATCACATAAGAATCTGCCTTCTACAGATTCTAAATTTTGTTTTCAGCATTTCACCAACTCCCCAGTCCATTCATCCACTATATTTCACTTCCTAGAAAACAGGAAAGTGTCTTTTTTTTTCCTTCATGCAACAGTATTGGCAACTTCCTGTTCAGGCAGTACATTACCCCCACAACCATGTAATATCGTTAGGAGTTTATTACTCCAAACGACCACTAACTGGTTATGCAGGAGTATACAGATTAGGAATTGTTCTAGGCTATTAAGACATGTGTTCAGGATGTTTTTATCTAGACACAAGCACTGAGAATAATTAAGTACAAGTAAACTGCTCTGATGATCTTGCATCATTCTATGCTGGAATGTATATGATTCAGAGCCCTTAATTTTTTGTTTTTTCTTTTTTTTAAATTGATCCTTAACTTAAAACATAAAGGGATCTACAGATGCACATACAAAAATACTGGTTTGTATCAATGCAAATTTTAAAACTATTAGCTTAAACAAAGCTTACCAAATGGCTTAACCTACTCAGCTTTAATTTGCAAAAAACCAGTAACAGTCATAAAAATTCACCTGATCTGTAATTGCTTTTAACTACTCTCACTTCAAAACAATATATTTGCTAGTTTATGTTTTAGGCCCAGAATTTTCACATAAGCTTTAAGAGGTACATCAATACGATACTCTGGAATTTGTGTGTTACTTCCCCCAAATTCTCATCCTTTCCACTCAGTTTTAAGTGACAGCTGGGAAATATATTAACATACGTCTCAAGTTAGGTACTGGATCTTGTTAGTTATCCTCCAGTTTGCTACATTTAGGTATATACATACCTAGATAAGCAGAATTCCAGTGTTTTTTTCAGTAATTCTCGTAAATCTTCCTGACCTTCTGGCTGCAACTGTTCGTTTCCACCTAATAATTAAAATACTTAAGTTTAAATTTAGTTCTGCTATATTACACAATAGATATTTTAATCAAGCCATCATGTCTATTACTGGCTGTATAACTAGTAACAAATTTTCAAATTCAATAAATGTTCGTTGTTTCTTAATTCACCACCCACCAAAATTGCACAGGAACACTTTTTAAGACAAAAAAGAAAAACCGTATCTGACTTCACTTGTTAACCTCTGTTCTCCAAATACATAAAAATTTGGAGCAGTTTCAGAAAAGCAGCTACAAACACATCTCAGAGTAAATACTGAACTGACTTAGCTGGTATATCTGTCTTCCAGTCTTAGGAAACTAACCAATTTCTAGCTGACTAAACCCTGACTAATGCAGCTGACTAATACAGCAAGCAAGCAATGTAATGGAGGCACTTCATACTTCTGGCCTCACTCTAAATTCCCAACATGCTAATTCAGAAAAGAGTTTCAAAAACATAGTTATGAAATATCAGCAGATATCCAATCAATTAACAACAGATGTGTGATCAATTAACAATCGCTTGGTTAAGGAGGAGAAATTCATTTTTTTCTTCTACTTGGAAGTTTCAAAATTATCACATGGAAAACACTAATTTCATGTTCATTTTAGTTTAGATTCAATATACTACAGTCAGTTGAGGGTAAACTAATTGTGTCAGTGGGAAAACTGTTTAAAGATCACAAGTTTAGTGTGGCATTTAGAGATTTACAAAACATTTAGTAACACGTTACATAAATGTAAATTAGTTTTTTTAAAAAGTATTTCACACCAACTATTACCCTCTATACCCTTCCCTTCTTCAGTAACTTTCATCTTTTTCTTCAGCTCTCCTTAACCTTTCTTCTTCCTTAAGCAGCTTCTAATTTCCTCCCACCGTTTTGTCCTTCACACATTCTATTCTGATGTAGATAATGCCAACACCTGAGAAATACACATATCGTACTAACCACTATGTCCCCTTCCCATCTCCTCTTTCTTCCTTGCCTAAAACCTAGCAGAGACCAACGTTATATGCATCTTTCAAAATAATAATTAAAAAAATAAAAATCAGATTTCAGAGTTGGGATTACCTATATTATTATTCATCACGTGAATAGATCCCTCCTGCTGTTCAGCTGCTTTGCAACACTGTTTGACTCTTGTTAAAAGTTAACTATTTTGGGCACCTAAAGGACATGCTGACAAGTTCTAACACTAAGCTGAGGAACACTGTTCCCTTCTAGAGCGCGAGGCACCATTAATATAATTTTCTATTTGCCAGTTAGTTATTATTTAATATTCCCCAATAGTACCTTTAAGTAGAAGGGTCAAAGAGAACTTTCAGTTTTCAACACAAGCAAGGATGATGCCACAACTGTGTCTGATTTCAATTGTCTTGATTTCCAACTAATTATGGATGCTGTACTGGTCATTTTAAATACACGTTATAAAATCAGCTAAGCACAATGAACAAGGAGCAGACCTCTCATGAATCTCAGGAAACACTCAGCACATCTTCCTCTCTTTCCCATCCCTCATCGCAGTTCAAGCAGTAATCCTACATGCACCTTGCAGACCTTCTGCCCCTTCCAGTGAAATACAAGCATGGCTGAATCTCTATGCTAGTTTCCACAAGTTTCTTAAAACATGCCATCTGGTATAGACTACAGCTACTAACAGTTGCATTGAAAAAAAATCATGAGAGTTCATTAAAAAAGAATGCAAAGAAGTTAGACTAAATTGTTGCTTGTTTTAGCATTTTAAGTACAAGACTGATCTTTCAACACATTAACATTACTACTTGAGACACAAATGGCATGTGAATTTCACCTCAGTACCTGGGGCCCAACTAGAAACATGCAGCTTAGACAGGTAGGTATCTAAATACAGACGCCTACACTAGGGACTTGCGTTCAGAATAACATGTCAGAAAACAATACTCAGTTATATCCAGAACTTATGATCAATTCTGTGCAGTATCTCATAAGGCCTATATTCAAACAGGAGGAGACTGGTTTCCAAATATGTCTAAGCCTGAGAGCAAAAGAGACAGGATTTTCTGGGGTCTGTTTACAGAATGCATATATTGAACAACAGAAGTGGTGTATTTTTTTTTTGGTTTGGGGTTGGTTTGGTGGGGGCAGGGGTGTTTGGTTTTTTTTTTTTAATGGATGCCCACTGTTCAACTAAAAATATGTTTTCTTTTTTTAAACCAAGTCCAACCAAATATCAGCTTTCTCTTACCTGTCTGGGTGCTTTCATGCATAGACTCATACTCAGAATGATCGAGAGCCAAAGGGTTCATATCTGTCTGGTCTGACACCGAAACAGCTGGTGATGGCTCCGGCAGCTCTGTCAGCACTGCATTCTGATGCTTTTTGTCACCATCACCATTGGCATCCAGTCCTGCAGCAGAGATGACAAACACACTTCAAAAAGCATTCCTTCTAATCACAGAAACTTCATAATTAAAACTAAATCTGAAGTAAAGTTGCTTACACAGTTGCGGTCATTAACAGGAAATTAAAATTGAGAAAGTTCTGCACTGAGTTTTACCTTTTGTTTAAGCAACATCTAGAAATTCTTACTCATACCTTCTTTACAAGAATCTGGAGGTTGGTCAGGTATTTCTTCCCACGTTTTGCTCACGCTACCATCAGTGGCACCACTTGCTTCCAAGTGTAACATATGATTTCCCCACACCTTTGCATTAGGATTTAACTCAGAAACCTTGGTTGACTCCTACAAAAAGAAATTTCTTTGATTATGCACTTTGTGGATGCACAGCACGCATCTGTGTGTATATATGAACAGTTTAAATAACAGCATCAGATGTACAACTCAAGATTGTATTGTAAAGTTTTTTCCACATTGGAATATATTAACTGAACTGCCATCCCATGATTTTTTCAGGTACAAAAATGACTGAATTGTGCAGCACAGAATTCATTTCCCTGATTAAGAATCACCAGAAAAGGCTAGCCAAGCAGAGCAAACTACAACAAACATTTCATTCTTCACCTTTGACAGACTAACTCAACCTGTACTTGCCCTAGACTTCAGGCAGTTCTCAAATACCCATTTAACTCAATGTTGATTATACTGTTATCTGTTTCTGCGAAATAACATAAAAAATTTAAGAAAATACAGAAGCACGGAGTTTTTTTGGGGGGACTTATATGAAAATGTAACAGTTTTAAGGAAGCATTATGGAAAATTGAAAGCAATGAGATGTGCATGACAACTTCTGTCATTACTTCAAGAGAAAAAACAGAGCATTAACAAAAATTTAGGTTAGTTTTCCCCTAGGCAGGACAAAAAGAATGAATTACCAGATCCAGTTAAACCATCTTAGGCCAATCTCCTTTAACCTGGATTGGAAATGGACACATTTAATGGTCATATATGGTTATATATAACCATCATATAAATGATTATATTTGCACTTCAGAAAGATTGGTCTCTGTAGCGCCAGCATCTACGATACTTTGATAGTAACATGAGACAGTTTTCTCTTGTTTTGCTAATGTTTGAGCAAAACATGTATTCTGGGTATGGAATACCTTAATCTTTGGTGTGTTTTAATTAGTATTGCTCATGATAGCACAAAATAAAAAAGCTTATTAAAATTTGTTTTGTGAATTTAAGGATGCTAGGAACATTATAGAGTTTAAGGCAGGCACTTCAGAATTCCATGAAGCTTTAACTACTCTGAAACATGAGCACTCAGTCATTATCATAGTGCATAGAAAACACATCCAGACGGTAAAAAAGATCTAAGGAATCTCAACTTAAACACATCTACTAAATGACAGAGAAAAGACTTAAAATAAGTGGAAGTGTTCGACATAACTACTTGAATAGTAAGGATTCAAAGATGACAGCAAGTTCCATCAGTTTCCATTTTTAATACAAAAACTTCCCCCAGGAGATAGCAAACGTAGCTTCTAGTACAATCCACTGCCGGCACTGCAACTGCTGGGCAAGGTCAGAGCAGCTGCTGTAACACAGTCGGTGCGGAGAACAATACTAAACGCTGACCCTGCTCAGCGGGGAAGGAAGAGGAGCAGTAGCTGCCGCAGGTTGGCTTTGTTTCTTTCTTACCCCAGCTAGCCAAGATCCAGGCTAGCTCATTCCCCACGCTTCTCCTGCAGCCACTCCTTTCTACAGCACTTCAGAAGACCATCTCCGGAAGTGAGCAAAAGGTTTCCTAATTGCTACCAAGCAAGAACTTTAAGATTTCAGGAAATCCACAAACATTTCTTCCTATACGAAGGTAAAAAGCACTATTAACAGTCTGTAGAAAGTTTCCCTTCCACATACTGAAGTGTTCATCTCAAGTTCATCTAGAATTGAGAATCTGCGGTCAAGATACTTTGCCCAACGTTTAAACTTTCACACAAGGTAAACAAAACCAAAAAGAAAAAAAAAGTCAATATTCAGCAACATTTTGAACTACTACATTCTGTATAGCATTTTGTTTTGCAAAGGAAAGAGAGAGTGGTCAGCTTCAGGACAAAATAGCATATGATATAGTTAACTATCTAATGAAACCACAGTTTGACTTGGCTTATTCCAATTCCTAGCTTTGGCCTTAAGCTTTGACATCAAATCACTTCTGCAGAATACTTACAAGTTCATTTTTATCTTGCCATCCCCAAGTACCAACATTTTCTGGTGCTAGCAGCTGATACGGGTATCTTCCCACTGCATATGAAGCACCTGTTAAATCTTCAGGTTCATCCTGAAAGTTTTCACTAACTATACATAGTCTGTCATTCTTCAAAGTAGTGTTAGGAATTGTATTATTCCATAAAAAGCTCATAAGATATTCACCATTACCAGCACTGACGGTGTCAGAAAATAGCTGATTTGCCCATTCAGCATTGCCACTCTGAAGACTGATGAAATGCGACCATATTTCAACTTGGGGAGTTTGTCTGTCCAGTTCATACGAGTGCTCTTGGTCACTTGATATGTATTCCATCAGATCTAATACACACCGCTCGCTGCCTCGCTGAAATCGTGTGGCACCAGGAGAGGCACTGTGTATTTCATAGGAAGGAGTAGCAGCGTATTTGTCTACCTGCTTTGGGTCAACAAAAACTCCAAGCTCTTTGTTTGAAAAAATCTTGTGATCTGACTGCATCTGTTCCCAACTTGTGGTCAAGTCATTCATTCGAGTATTTAATATGTAACTGGTGTTTTTCAGTTCAGTAGTCTTGGCTTCTAACTGCTTTAAATTCCCCATGGTAAAAGCTTCTAGACTGCCAGTGAGGTGGTTCTCCTTTGAGTGGATGCTGACACACTGTTTTACTTCACCATCCTGAAGATTACATTCGTTTACATCACACATACTTTTTTCATGAGTTTCTGATCCTACTTCAGTAAAAGGCCCAAGAGAAACTTGGGTGTTCCCGACCTCTGGCTCTGGACTGGCACAGTGACATAACTCAGGCTCTTCCACTGGTTTATTATGCACGTGAGAATATGAATTTTGACACAATGAAGGTAAACAATTACGGGCTTTATGTAAGAGATTACTGGCATCTTTCAGATTTTTAGTGTCATCTATCAATTTTACACTCTTGTACATACAATTGTCCAAAGCTACAGGTACAGTGGAGTTAGAGTAAGTATTCTGATCGTGAGTCAAGCCTTTATTGCAATTTAAGATGTTTTTATCATGATCAACAATGTTAGCATCCAAATTCTGGTTTACATTTTCTGCCTTGTTATCAATTGTCTTGTTTAGGTGACCTTCAGATTTTGTCTGTTTTACAGATTCTACTACATCCCCAGCTATTGTGGCTGAGTCAGTCCCTGCATTCCATTGCTTTTCCACTGCGTGGAAGGAACATACATTGTGTTCCTCATCTTGTCTACAGTTCGTGTCCATTTTATTCATATCCTCACATTCCATAGACACAGGAGAGACACCATTTTTGTTATCTGAATTTGAATATTTGCACACTTTACCTTTATTCCCTGATGACTCTTGTGAAATCTGAGATTGTAGGCTGTTTTCCTTTAGGAACATTTCATCTGTGCTTGTGTTATGTAGTTCATGAGATGTCAAAGTGCCACCACTTACCCATGATCGAGTTCCACTCAAGCAACCAGCTTCCTCAAGCGTGTCGCCTTTCAGCTCAATGATACTCACACAGACATCTTCCTCCATGCCACTACGGTTTGCAACTTCAGTTGATGTCTTGTTTTCAGTGCAACCCTTAATTTGAGTTTGAAAATCAGAACTTTCTTCCAAGTTTTCGTGCATTTCAGTCACATTCAAAGCTTCACAGCTATGCAAAACTATACCTGTGCATTTCTCTTTATCTTTTAAGAATCCTTCCAACACGCTGTGATGTTCACTGGAGTCGGGTGCAAACGTTTGGCTATCACCATACGTTCTTTGAAATGTTCTCTTTTCCAGATTTGAGTTTACTTCACTTTCTGGGTTTAGGAAGTAGCCTTCTTCAGCAAGTTTTTCTATATGTTGACTCACCAAAGAAGAGTCATTGCCCATTTCATGTAACTCTAATGATAATTTGAAGTTACCCCTCATGTTCTCTGCCATCTGTTTAATATTTATTTCCCTTACAACACTCGAGGGATGCCTATTTAAACCAAATGGTACAATCTCAGAATCATGACTACCCTCAATTTTTCCTGAATTACATATTCCAGTATTTAACAATACACTGGAAATACAACCACTGTGTTTCACGTTTTCTGAATTAGGGCTGTATCGGTCCTCTTCAGCAGCATCTACAAATTTTACAGAATCACAAGCTCTATGGAGTGATTCATTCCAACTAACAGCATTACCTATGGTATATACCTCCCCTTGTCGATTATCAGGGACGACTTCATCATATACTTTCGCTCTTAAGCCATCTGTTACTGTATTGTCAGTATTTAACCTACGCACCTGACACCTGTTAGCCAGTAAGTTATCATAAGAAGATTGGATGTCTATGTTACAATATTCCTTTGTTTCCTTTTTCTGCATGTTTGACCTATCCTCTTTTTTATACTCAAACAGTTCTTTCTGTGAATTAAACTTAGCTTCCACTTGTGCCGATTGCTGCATTGGAAATTCCTCCCCAGTGTCTAGAGGTCGTGCCATGCTGCACATTCCTTCATTGGTAACAGCTGAGTTATCTACGTCTGCTGCAGCCTCTTCATGCGCAGTAGCTGGCACCTCTTCATCCACTCTCAGATCTTCAGCATCTACAACACAAATACTGTAAAACTCCCTATCTTTTGTATTTTGCCTGTCGTCTACATCAAGACAGGAAAATGTTGGAGACATCTCTCTATGTGAACTTGAAACCTTTTGTAGGCTGTCACTCTTGCTGTCTTCAACGTGTACTGTTGTTTCATTCTGCCTTGAATGGTCACACGTAACTGCATAATCCTCCAGAAAATTTCTATTTAAGGAAATTTCACCCTGTAAGCCTTCGTCTAGGATGTCTGGTACATGTGAAGTAGAAATATGATCAAACAAGCAATGCTCTTCTACAGCTAGATTTTCATTTTTAATTTTACTATTAATATTTTCTGTATTGTTCATGTGCTGACCATTACTATTAGATTTTTTAGGTACTCTTTTTTTAATAACCCTATCTTTCTTTTCTTCACTTTTCTGCAGATTTCCATATGTACCAGAGACCTTCAGGAGGTGACTAAAGGAATTAAAGAAGCTAAAAGGTCTGTCATACGCTCTCCTAGAGCTCTCATGTGGAGTATTCTCCACGCTTTTGTACGACGGATATTTTGTTTTTCTATCCCAGAACCCAAATTTAGAATTTGACGCTACATAATCATCACTACGAACGCATTCAATGCTGACTATCGCAGCTGCCCCATTAACCGTCCTTCCCGCTGTATGCAGATCCTGGCTTTCCACAGTTCCTAAAATTGAAGATGAAGTTTTACTTATCCTTGACTCTGGTGCTTCCTCTTCCACAGATTTTTGTAACAAGCCGATTTTCTCCTCATTCGTGCTGTTACTCAATTCTTTACTGAAGCAGCAGCCCATGTTCAATAAGTAGTGTCAGAGGAGTCTTCTCATTGCAAATCACCTTCCTCTATACACTAAACTAACTTTCTGCTGCTACTGAGGAGACAAGCCAACACCCAGCTGCCAAAAATAGCACACTTTAAAACCATGCAGGGGGTTCATATGTCATTGCCACTCAAAGTCCAAATCCCAGTTGCGGAGCAATGTTTTAGTATTTCATCATATGCACTGTAATTTTCAAGCCAAATAATTCTCCTAATGAGATTACAGTCTGTTTACAAGTATTACCAAGTCTTATGAACTTCCATTGTTTAATTTCCTGAAATTTCCTTCATCCAAATCACTAAAATATTTAATTGACATCTTTCACAATGTCCATGTGTGCCAAAAAACTGCTTGCCTTCATATTTAATACAACTCCCACTTTCTACACAAGGATAAATGCAGTTTGGCTTCACATGTTTAAATCTGATTTGAAGACTAAACTAGTGGAAGCTATTAGATCAAACACATTTTGGACCAATTGCTCCTTCTCCTCCCTTCCCCCAGAGCTGAACCTACACCAAGATGACTTCTTTAGGAAAAACAGGCTAAAGATAGATAAGACCTCATGTATTCCATTGAACAGTCACTGTACGTTATCAGAAGCTAATTCTGTTCCAAGCCCTTTTTTTAATTCGTTATCTACATGAAAAAACAAATACATAATCCCTCAGTGACTTACAGCACTGGAAGGGGCCACATGATCATCTAGCAATCTCGTGGTACTGTGTCAGGATTCATTATACTTAACGTCCACAAAATTTGTGTATTCTTTTACAAAAAAACTCGGACAGATTTAAAAGGTAGTTTGACTAAATGCTACTTCTTCCAAAAGTCTGTCCCCAGTGTAAGTTTTCTTTGTTGTATGTAAACAGACTTCTTTCTGACTTTATGATGGCAAAGAACATCTTTCTACACATGTATTTACATATTGGAAGACTTCTACTACTGTAAGTCCCTTTACTTGCTAAAAAAGTGGTTCTGTTTCCTCAAAAATAAAAACCCAGTAAAAAAAGCTGGCAGTACCCAGCAATCTCTTCTGCTCTAAACAGAGTTGTTCTTATTTGCCTTTACATAATTTTACATCACTCAGACCTCCTCTCAAATCCATTGCTATTATTTCAAATTTGGACCCCATCCTTCAGAGAGCTTGCAGACTGTACCACTACAGCACCACTCTATGCCGTTACTTAAAAGATACTGAAAACACACATGAAAGACAAGACAGACCCTTGAACTCTATTTCAAATGTTCTTTCAGCTGTACATTGAACTGAGTGCTATTTTTCAATTGGTTGTGCACCTTATGGCAAGTTTAATCAAGATGTACTTGAACTAGAGTTTTAAGATAGCCTGGCAACTTGCCTTCATTGTATTCATATAGCAGTATATAGAGGTACTAAGGCTAATTAAAGCAGTTGCCTTTCAACTAACTAGTAAGAGATGTATTTTAATTTCTATTGTAAACTATACTTGCAGGGTAAAGGCTGCTTAACACAGAGATCCAGGCTCTAATATTCCACTATCATTACTTTTTTTTTCCATGATTGCCATTGTGACTTATTTTACAGCTGCTTTCATGGCAAGTCACATAGCCTACATTAGGCTTAAGACATTATTCAGTCTTATCTATGTTGTCTGTATGGTCCCTGTCACTGTCACGCTGCAAGATTTCTGCTTTGTTTCCAAAATTCCAAGGGGTGTGGGGGGGGAATCTTTACCAGAGAAGCCCACAGTCACTTTTTCCCTTCAATCTCCTTCATTTACTTTACTTCTGACAGAAAATCTACTACTATCAACATAGAAATAAATTAAGCATCAGTTCCTCTTTTACTCATTCATATCTAGTTGGTAAACTAAGTTCACATCTGTTTAGAGTAATGAACCAAAAGAGAAGCAAGCATTTTTTGTTTCCTGTTGTAACCTGAAGATTGAGGAAAAAAATGACGCTGCACTGAACCACAGTAAGCAGGGCCAGGCTGGATTAAAATCAGGTAGAAGAGAACATGAAAAAAAGCTATTGCTATCCCAGACTGCTCACAATCTTATAATAACTTGCAAGTACAAGGTAGTACTGAGGAAGTGCAGAAGCACTCTAGAAATTAAAATGTTTCACTTTAGTCTGCACTGCAGTCACTATGAAGCACTCCTGCGGTAATAGTAGTAGAGTTCCCATTTAGCAGCATAAAACAGACTAGAGGTGAATCTCTCTTCCTTATACAGTGTGAAATGCTTCCATTCTCTTCTCTGAAGCTTTTGCAAGGTATTTGAATATTTATTTTGAGTAATTTCTTATCCTACTTCTCTTTATAAATACCGTGTAACACAAAAAAGTGCAAAGCTATAATATGGCTGCCAATGTAGCTTTTTCTCCCCAGACAAGTATTCTGCTTATAAGACAAATGAATCACAAAAAAAAAATGTGTTTTAGATTCTTAAATGCCATATAAATTTAAATGCCATAGGCAGACTCAGATTTGTATACGTGAAAGAACCATATTGGCTAACTTTCAGGGGAAACTTCCTATTCACCACTAATCCTCTGACCATAAAAAAGATTGCTGAATTGGCTAGGGAATACATCCCCTCTCAGCAAGTCTGCTTTGAAATTGCAAAGTGAGAAAAGAGGAAGACTACCCTGCCCCCTCCAGCTTATCCAATACGTGAAGCCTCAAAGTGCCTGCAGAGACATTGTTCTTAAGGATAGGAAGTCTGATGCATCATTGCTGCCATCTGCTGCATTTTTTTTAATTCTCCCGCGGGACAAAGTTATTCAACATGCTTGGATCCAGACTTAAAACTAAGCCAAGTCACTCCTCGCCTTTAGCATTCCCTGGAACCAAGTACAGGGAAAGGGGGAGGGTGTTACTTATAATAGTTTTTTTGAAGAAATGCCATGAGCAAACAATTCAACTGTCAGCATAAAGTCACAATAATACTTGCAAAGTTTACAACTATTCAGAAAACTCCCTCATCAGGTAAATAAATAGCAAGATTTTTCCCTTCTGTGATTTAACCATTACTAATGACGTGCTTTCTAGAGAGGAACTAAGTGCATTTAAGAGAAGGACCAGGGCAAAGTCCACTTTTCCAGTGCCTTAACAAGCACTTCTGCTATCAACTAATGGGGAGAAAATGGGTGAAGCAGTTCAAGCAAGTAGAAACTTCCATTTTTCCCATACCCTTCTCCTTATGTGCAAAGGCACATTTTGTACTTGTTCCTTTGGTTTTATGTAAGAGTTCCAGGGATAATTTCTATTTTTAAGCACCTATAGTGAATGTTCATTAAGTCACATTTCTCAATACTGTTTATTGTGGGATCACCATTAAGAAAAAACAGCAACATAAGTTTAAGCAGAAAATGCCACACTGTTATGCTACATGACCTGAGGTTGGTTGTTTAAATTCCAAGACTCAGTAAGTCTTAAAAGCCTTCTGGCTAAGATAAACACTGCCACCTGACTTGAAAAGCACTTTAAAACTAACAGAATTTGTGCTCTGCCACTTTGGAGCCCAGCTCAGCTGGGGAGTGGGTTTTATTTATTTTGGTTTTTTTCTTTATACATATGTATTTTGGCTCTAGTATATTTCTCATCTACTCAAAGCCTAAATGGGTTTTCCCCTCTCTGTGAAACAAAACTGCTCTGAAGCAGCACTTTCATAACTTGAACATTTTTTTTTTTTAATAAGTATTTTAGTCCTATGTCCTGCACACTCCTACGCAGAAAGCAGGAAGTCAACATGCTCATCAACAGGAGTATACCTACCCATCTACTTTCATTTCTGCACGTACCTATTCCTTGTCAAGGAATAAGGGTTTATCCCATATATAGTCTTAAACAGCTAAGTTTTAAAATATAGTCTAGCTTTAAAGTTACAATAGCACAAATTAAAACAGTCCTTACAACCTTCTGACATCTAACTTCATTTATCCTTTTTCTATAATAAAGTCGTGCAATCGTAACTAGTCCTGAAGAAACAGTGATTATCCTGCACTCCCAGGCCATACCTGATGTCATGCCCACTGCCAGTTAAGGGAAAAGAGAAGAGCAGCATTACAACAGACGTCACAACATCACTACCGCAGGCTTTTGGAAAGAGCTGGTCAGATTGCTTAACTTTCCCTCCAAGATATCAAGATTAAATGGACTGTTAAGAGTTTAAATACACATTTTACACATTAAAGCAATTAAACGTTAGCATTAGAAGTCACCTACAGGTACAGAACTATGCAGCACTTTTCTTATGGTCTAAATCTACAATAATGTGACAGAGCGAACACTAAGCAGTATTGATCTTTCATGATGATGATACTGTACATGTTCATTTTAAGGTCTAATCTTCCCATCTCTCATTTAAAGCTATTCATGATCTCTTAAATTATTATACATCACCTACATGTTATACAAACTGCTACTTAACTCTTAATTGGCACATACTGTATGTAATACTGTGTATTGTCAAGTGATCTGAGGATTATATGCTATACTGAATTTTCAATAAACCATTACACAGGGTCCTATATTAAACTAGTAAATTTAATTTCCTCAGTCCCTTTTTATTCTATGAGGCTTATTCTTGAATGGGTTGCAAAAGGATTTCTGAATAACATAACCCAGCAGCTCTAAGCCCGAGACGTCCTTCCACATTGCCTCCTATGAAAAACATTTTAGGAAGTACAATTAAGTCCCATCTTAAGTTTTCTGACTTGCTAGCTATTTTTTTTGTGCTTAGAACCAACAATATGATTGAACTTGTATTTACAGTACCTATAAGCAATGACAAAAACCAGCACACCACATAGGTTTGAATTCCCATTAACAGAAGCCCATGGCAGCGCCTGATAATTATTCAACTAGAGAGAGAATGGGTGATGCTCATATCGTCATCAGACAGCAAGTTTAAATGGCCCCATGGTAATATCCTCCACTGGAACATACCGACATTTGCAGAACCTGTTGCCACTTGATGACAAGAATCCCTTCTAAAGTTAATTTCAAACTGCCAGATCAGGTCTTCGATTCAGACAATCAAGGACAGAAAATTCTTTGGTCCTTGGAAAAT